GTGAATGCAGTGACAAGCGTCATATGCATATAAAATCTTTCGACAATCTTATGCATGAATTTCTCAAATGAAACGCTCCATTATTCAAAACAATATTCAACATAGTAAATCGGTTTAGTGTTGACAATAATGATGATCTAATTTATTTCGTAGTACGACAAACATAAACGACTTCAATTTACTTTTCGGTGTTTGATCAAAATTAATTACACTTGGTACACATTTCTTTATCCTTGCCAAATCTTAAATAAATCTGATGATTATCACAGCTTAATGAATTGATTTATGTATCGCATTTAAATAATGTACATATTAGTGTTAATGGTTTCGATAAAGCTCACAACTAAAATATGTTGCGATCTTAAAAGTAAAAAATAAGCAATAGAATTTAAATGTCAGTTTTATTAATTTGTCCATCTGTAATAATTATTATAAAAAATTCTACTTTCCCGATTTTGTGAGACGTTAAATTTTTACTCTTTGCATTCATTTATACAATATCAAGAACGTAAGGCATGTTCGAGTTACGATAATTGTTCACTATTACGAAGTGCGTTTAGTCTGTTAATATGTTTCCATAATAAGATTAAGATTAGATATTTAAATTCATAATAAATAGAAATATTAACCTAGACCTTACAAACAATGTTCTCTTACGTTCGGATTTCATTAAACAAACAATCTAAATTTATATGTATACTAAATTGTACACTTGTATTCTGCAATAAGGTGATTTGAATGCAAGCATATTGTAGTAGGAAAGTGAAAATTGGATAAATTAGTTTTTTTGCTGTTTATTACTATTGGTTATTGCACAGCTTTAGATGGATCTTATCTAATTGAATTAAAGGAAAGATGCACACTCCTATATGGTATTGAAATTAGCTGTAGGATTACAACGATGGCAGTAAATGTAGAAAATTTACATCTTGTTAATCACTAGCGTATACTCAGATGGAATCTACCTCTTTTCACTTTGACACTCATCCTTTTTATATTTATTATATGCACTAGAAAAAAATGGTGTAAAAAGATAAGAAGCTGACAAGGTAACCCAATTAAATTTCCTGACTCCTTTCAAACAATTCTTCATCCATCTTTTTAGTAACCAATGCCTTTCGATTTTCTTGTTTATTGAATCACGTATTTATTACTTAAGCATTAATTAAAACGAATTATTGAATGCTTTTGCACTACCATAAAGCACATCCAAAATGCCTAGTTTTAGTTTGACAATCATATATTTTTTAATAATTTGATGCTCATTTCTAAGGCCGTTTGAATGTGAGGAATAGCTGACCACAGGCAATTGCAACTACTAATGTTAATAGCACACTGAGGAAGCGAAGGAGATCATTTCAATTTTGGTGCTCTTTCTATACAAGCTCAAGAGAGAGCCAATAGCAATGAACACTGCTTGTCGATAGACTAGATGTATGTAGGCACAAACGTGATTGGTTAATTAATAGTTGGTTTTGGTTTCTCCGCCATTAATGGCCTTGCACCGTACGGTGCTTCATACATACTATCTACATTTTCCTTAATGGCATATGTGTATAAATCTCTTGTAAAAGCTGGCGACAAAGTTTGTCCCACTTCCTTGCGACCATTCTGGAACCATCCAGCTGGTCCTAAGACTATTTTCTTTTGGGCACCTACCTTTAAATGGGTAAGTTTATCTTATTTTATTTTACATATTTATTTTATTGCTATTTTTAGGGCTTGGTAATTGCCGGTATTGCGGATTTGACCCGTCCAGTTGAGAAAGTTAGTGTCTCCCAAAGCACCGCACTTGCTGCAACAGGGCTTATATGGTCTCGTTACTCTCTAGTTATCAAACCAAAGAACTGGAACCTTTTCAGTGTCAATATTTTCGTTGCGGCTACTGGTATCTATCAACTCTGCCGCATTTACCTTTACCGTAAAAAGCTGGAAAAACCCTTAGCTTAGGTCTTTTCCATCCTCATCTTTCCTACAACTGAATTTGTTCTATGTAAACTATCCAATATGATATTATTACATAAATACGTGCTTGTGGATACCCGCTATTTATAATTTTTGTCTTAGTTTGTTTTCCTAGTTGTGTACTTTAATAATTTCGATTAGCTTTACATATTCCTTGCTAGTGTGTGGTAATTTTTGGCATTTTGCTTTGCTCGTTTGATCATTGCTTTTAATTATATGTATATGATTTTCGTCTTCACGCCTTTCAGCTATTAATGCACCTTAAAATACAGGTATGCATCTATTGATTTTCTGTGTGATAATATTATCAGTAGGTATTCCTTTTTTCTTTTCTTGAATCTTCGACATTTACTGCACCACCACCGTTTCAATATAACTATTTATGCATTTGACTACGTATTATAATTGCAAACATCGGAAGTATTTCGCACACATGACAGAAGGAATGTTTTACTTTGTGCAGCTATAAAGCTTTCGAGAGTTATATCTATCCACGCTTATTCGGGTTCGAGGTTAAAAGTTATGATTCAGTCTTACAGCTTTTCTCTTTTGGGACTGAAGCTTGACTCTCCCCATGCGGTATTATTGTATGAAATGATTAGTATTTTCCTTATTATATGTATTTATATACATTTATGTACTTCTGTATTATCGCCAATAAGCGCCGATCCGAGGGGGCGGCTATTGTGGTCCGATAATTTTCCATTTAACCGCCCTGGGTGGATTTTTGGAAAATCCCAGTTCGCTTCATAACTTTTCAGGAATAATTGGGTCATGGACCAGTGACACAGTGGTTAACGCACAAATTCAGCAGTGTGGGTGACTCACCGCCCCTAATTAAGTCCTGTTAATAAGACTTCTTCGTATGATTGGCTCCAAGATGTCTCCCCTCTGCCCAGTTCAAGCCTTGCGAGCACAAGTAGCTCCTTTCGGGAGATTTTTTAACGTTCTGTCTTGATGGGCGTCGTGTACACGTCTCTTTAGGGTTTAGGTTTACGCAATAGTTGCCTATTCATGCATAATAATCCAGTGGGTGAATCCTTGAAGCCTATTTTTTTTAAACGCGAAGTAGTGAACTAATTATTGTCTAAATTATGAAAAATAGGTGAAGAAAGATTATTTTATTACTCTGGGTGTACTCACTTTGTTTCATCCTCTTCTTTGCCCTATTTCGGATGATTTCATTTGCTTATAATGTTCGCATTTCCGAGGCTCAAAATGTCCTCATAGTAGCAGCTGCATAATTTCTAAGGGAAAAATTTAGTTTTAAGTATTTCCATTTATGGGTCATACGTAGTCACGTCGAATTCACCTCAGCTGTCATGCCAACCTAGCATAATATTCACATAGGTGAGGTAATACAGCTCACTTCAGGCCAGATTATCAGGTTCACCGCAAATAGCTATTCAGTCAAGCTAATGTAAGGTTCAACACGTCAGTCCTTACGTGAAGTGTTGACAGCACTTAATTTGGTTAGACGGAGTATTTACTCGAGCCGTGCTTGGAAGGAAAGCTCATTTTATCATCCCATTTCTTGGCCAAAATTTTCCTTTTGTGGTTTGCTATTTCCGCTAATTAGAATGAACAAGAGAACAGGCTGGAAAGTGTGCTGCGCTACTAATTCCGCAACGAGCAAGTGCGTCACAAGAACAAAGACCTCGCATCCAGTAAGAACTCAACGTAGCACTGACTATTTTTTAAGACTAATCTTTGCGGCCCTTACCATAAACTGTAATAATCGCTCTTCATGTTATACGCTTTGTTTTCTTGGTACTGTTGAGGTGGCTTATCTAATTTCGGGAGTAATATTAATCTACGGGTTTGAGTAATAGTGGATTGTTAAGGTTTTGTCGAGGCTTACTTGAATAATGCTCATCGATCTCAGCGTGAAAAAGATGCCATGAGTAGTTGATATATGTGATCAAATATTTCCAAAAGCTACCAGTTACCTCAATATACCAGGATATTTATTTAACAAAATTACTATGTTATTGGGCATTAGAGTAGGGATTCTGTCCTAAAAATAAGTAATTCTATTGAATTCACCACTGCTTCTAGAATTCTTTGATTATAACTTGTAAGCTTAAGACCTGTTATCCTCCAGCATTTTAACTACGGAGCTGAAGATACAGTCCACTTTACGTCTCATATTAAATGAAATAAACTTAAAAGTCACTCCAAATTTCCGTTGACGAAAACTATTAGAATTAAAACTGACTCTTTAAAAAATTATTAAAAGGAATAAATTCCTCATCTACCCTAACAGAATCAAAAATAAAATTGATTAAATTACGATATTATTGCTACGTTTCAGGACATAAATGGTCAACTGGTGTCTCCGCTTTATATATCACCTTACCTATTAGCTGGTGATAAAATAAACATAATAGTAACAGGGCAAATTCAAATTTAAGTGGACATGTGTAAAGTAGTTTATTTCATTGCATTAATATTAAATTAAAAGACATGAATCGCGAATGCTAATCATTCGCGATGGCAGCACAGAATATTTCAAAGCCTAGTGTGTTATTAACTTTATAGAAACACATCTACAGCTTGGATAAGGAAATGATTCTCCTTTTAAATCATTGGAGTAACACGCTAAATAAAGCCTTGTAGAAAAAGAGGCGATTAGAGGTTAGTGAATATATACTATCATAGCCAATATCAAAAAGTTTAGGAGATTCCATATTTCCTTTCGTTGTTACATGTACGTCGAAATTAATTACCTACCCCGTCAAGGGAGTTCAAAGATTATTGCATTAATGGACAACCAATAAATTCAATAGGGCTCCATAGACACCCATGAAACGGAAGGGGAAATAAGCTTTAATATTTTATTTATATGAATTTTATTCTCAAATGAAATATTAGTGCGTCGTTGCTAAAGGCTTTAATTATTGATAATTATGTTTGAAAATAGAAAATTTATGCTAGATTTGAGCGAAAAAACTAAATATGATTTATTATTAAATTCAGTGCGTACATTTGCGCTCAATAATATGGCAATGATTTATATTAACTGAACCTAAACTCTTATTGGTCAAATCGTTCCGCCTATTTGGAAGGTTGCACGTTTGACGGTCGCCCGATATCCTCTATGGAAGAAGAAAAAGAAGCTACATCCGTAGGCGTATTTTATTTTCATTATTTCTCCTTAGTTTGAGCAGCCAGTATTAGTTGAAGAACCATTGGACTTGGTTCGACTTAGTCTTGATGAGAAGGTTTTTGTTAAAATGCGACACAATCGCGAGCTGACTGGTACCCTACATGTAAGAATTTGCGAACTTATTCCCATTGTTTTTATCCATTTTTAATGTTTTTCTACATTAGGCATTCGATTCTCATCTCAATCTTATCCTCGGTAACGTCGAAGAAACAATTACCACACTGGAATTAGTTGAAGAAACATTCGAGGAAATTTACAAGACTTCTAAGAGAAAGATCCCTCTCCTTTTTGTTCGTGGAGATGGCATCGTTCTCATCTCTCCACCTCGATCTGAACAATAAACCTTGTATATATCACCCGCCCCAACGCCTCAAATAAATGTATTTTCGAAAAAGAAGTTCAGTCACTGATATTGATTTATTTCACACAATTGGCCGCCTCTAAAGGTTACATTTTCGATTGAATTCTTGTTGCTCTCTCCCACTCCTCTTCATTAAAACCTAGTTTGGTCGTCTCTTCTGGGCTCATTAGGTTGTGCTCAATTCGACACTGAAGATAGGCGGCGGACTCTACTCTGCACTTACTGCTTTCCCAGGAATTAGATTTCATGCAGTTCATCCATTTTTCGCGCATTACGTTACAGATTCCTTTGTGGTCTAGTGGGAAGCTCCCTTTGTCCGGTGGCCTTACGCGAATTCGAGTGTTTGAGTAGGCTCCAGCATCTCCCATCTCTAAATGGAAAATTCGAATATTATTAGTCTTAGCGATTTCCCTTTTCTACGTATATTCGAGTCCAATTGTGGAAGGGTTTTTGAAAATTCATCTGGCATTTCCGGTGATTTTTCACTTAAAGAGATCAGAATTCCCCTTTGGTGTACATTGTAGCCCTTAGGTTAGTGAAAGAACATGATAATCGCTGCGACTCACGCATAGGTTTGCATGGTATGCTATGATGTACATTTTCGTCGGCCGGAATCGGGATATGTGTGCCACAAGCTCATCTACCGAGGATTCGTGAATGTCATTATTAGAACCTTCGTGGTTTTGTAGGTTTTTTCTCTCAATCTGTACAACAGAGCGAAATCGAGGAGAAAATGAGTCTGAATACATACGTTAAAAGCGAACACGACGCCAATTCAAAAATGGCAAAATTATAACATCAGTAGAATGGTTAAAGTGAAATACCGGGAAGAATGCATAAGAGAAACCCATTAATGGGTCATGGGAATAAAGAATTAAATCACTGTTCACGTCCGACTTGACACCAACATTGCCGAGTTTACGAAGGAATATATTTTCCACAACAAAAATGCCTCAAAGTCTTCGATTTTCTCCAGATTATTAACAGTTGGGCCGAAATCAATTAGGTATAGATTGTACCATTCACTCATGCAGCATTAGATTTCTAGATGTGAGACAATATAAATGGGTGGTGGAATTAAAATATTAAAAGCGGACTAGGCGCCTCGTAAAATTAGCAATTGCAAAACAATATTATCATAACACAAGTTTCAAAAGAATATAGTAAAAATCCAGTGAACATTTACAAATAATAAGAAAGCCCCAATTTGACCCCAAAAAGCGGCACAACTCACCCAAATTGTTTAGAGCGGCAAAATTTCACCAGACACGTTCAGAAAGTTTCTAGGTAATTGAATTCAGTATCGACTCTCCCAGTTGTCGATCAATTGTTATTTTTAGATTTCCAATATTATGCAGGAATCCTGGTTCAGGCCAGGATATATTCACCTAAATAAAGTTATCTTAACATTTTGCTTTAAGTTATCATTGCTTTTGAATTTGCTATATAGTTTAATTCTCATATATGAATGATAACAATCAAAGGAACACTGATAACAGTCTTCATAAAGCGTTTAGTCGAATAAGTTCGGCATTGCGTAAACTAAAGTCCATGTTAGTGTAATTTTAATTTATGTTAAATATTTAATTTATTTTGGCATATAATTATCGATAAATCCTACCGCTCTTTAATGTGAGTGAAATAATATCAATGTTCATTAACCCATATTCTTTTTTCTAAAGTTTTGAAACTTCAAGTTTCTCCAAAGGATATTTCAAGCTTTGGTCACTGAATCCCCATAAAGTTTCTATGTTACATATAAAGGCTTCCTTTGCCATAGTTGTTCAGTTCAAATTTCTTCTTTTTTAGGTAAAATAGATTATAAAAACCGAATGTATTATGCAACTTTGTTTTTTATATTGAATTAAAGTGCCAAAAGATTAAGAGGATCTATTGTTCGATTATTACTAGAGTAAATATTCATTCTGTTAATTAAGCAATCACTTCTGATTTATTAAAAGTAATCACTTAGCAATAATTGGCACTTTTATTCACGTTTATTTAGTGGTTTCACAATTTTTAGCCTTTGCAGATTTGTAGCATATCAACAGGGTAATGATTGCATCAACAATGTTGGTATGCATTCAAGGTTTTGTTCAATTTTATTATTCCATCAAACAAACTTTGACATCATCAAGGTTCGAAAGATCAAATTATGAGTTTAAGGTCAGTTTTTTAGGGAAATAGAAAATAAACAAAAAACTTAAACTTTTGGTCTAAAGCTTACCTAAATATATCCTTTTTAACCAAAAGAAGCATAATTTAACTTCCTTCCGCAAAAATGACCTGACATTTTTGGAAAGAAGAAAAATTTGTTCATGGTATTATTTAAGAAAATATACGGTTTTAAATCCTCATAAAATGATTAGATTTCATTAAATTAATATGCCAAACAGCTGAGTCTGTAGAATTTAATTCTCGATCATATTAAATGGCATTATAACCGTTGCCTATTATTCATCCAATGTAAAGACTTTATATTAAAATAAATTGTAATTAAATAATTTAAGCAATCCTGAAATTCTCTTTGGAACACGAAGCAATTATGTCAGGTTATGTCAGATTTTTTGCGCATTGGCGCGATTTTCTATCATTCATCGTAATCTTTCAATATGTCTCAGATGAGAGCTGTTAATGACGAATCTGATGCCAAAGAATTGAAATTTCCGCCGGAGTTCGAAAATGCAGAAACTCTGATGATTTCGGAAGTGAAATTTTTGTTAGAAAATAGGAAAAAGCAGAATGAAACCAACCTTGCTCATGAGGTTGAACTTTCTGCTAATTTCACAAAGACGTACAATTATGCCACACAATTTTCTAAATTTAACAACCGCGATACTATTGAAAGTGTGCGAAAGTGAGTTAGACTATAAAAAATTATAATTGCCTTTTAGCTTGTTAGCGCAAAAGAGATTTCACAATTTCGAGTTGGCCGCTATAGCAAATCTTCTTCCAGATACAGCTGAGGAGGCAAAGGTACTTATTCCCAGTTTGGAAAATGCCCGATTTCCTGAAGAGGAACTTCAGCAAATTCTTGATGAAATTCAGTCTAAGCGAAGTTTCCAATCGTAATGAGTTCTCTTCCTTCACTTCGCTCCGTGCGAAGTGCCGTGTATAAATCTGTATGCCTTGTATCTCATTTTTACAAATTATTTGTATTAAAGTCTTTTCACCTATGTTTACGTTTTTAATCCCGTTCTTAAATGGTCGAAATTTTGTTTATGTGATTCGCGTTTATCATTTAGTAATGCTTTTTGCTAAAATTATTTAGTTAGATATTTTGTTGTTCTAAAATGCCCTTTTTCTTTCATGTAGAGCATTTTCATTCTTGTGATCTGTGGGAAATTCCATCAATGACCAAATAGAAATCCTGCTATAGAATACTACTCAGAAATATTTCGCTATTAATGTTCCCACGAATCATGCTAGAATTATCTGATAACTAATCGCTTTACCAAACACACACTTCGCTATCTATATACGTACCGAATAAACGTATTCCGTGCTAATTCGCAGGGACTTTCGATTGGGAGGAAATTGTTATAGAGATTTCTGAGAATAGTCAAGGTTATTGAGGTAGCTAAACCGCTACAATTTGGTGATCCTGACGTAATTAAGCCTGACTGCAACCTCTCAGCAGCGGAATAATCTCTCTGGTATCGCGACTTCCTTTCAATCGCTAAACTCGCCCGGTTCAACAAAAGCACCTTCTTTTACTTATTCGGCGAATACTTTTCGTTTTGTTCAATCTACTCAAGTATTCTACTTCCGTCCTCCTACCAAATCACGATGTCCAAAGAGTTTAATCTAAACTCCGATACACTCGGTTTCTCTGTGTGCAATCCGGTTTTTGACCCCCAATGCCCTGATATCTGGTTTACGCAGTTCGAAAACATTCTTGAGGCAAAAAGTATTAACAAGCGAACAACATGGTTACAATATGTTACAGGATCGCTCCCGACTACGATAGTCAAATAGTTCAGACATATTATCTCCAAGCCGCTAGATGGCGACTCGTACGATCAACTCAAGCATGCCGTCATCAATAGTTTTTCTGCTCCGCGAGAGGACCAATTGCAGCAAATAATGTCCCAAGTCGAACTCAGGGATCGTTCTCCTTCTGAGCTTCTACTTCATATCCGCTCCCTGGCTGGTATTTATGATTTGGGTGACAATTTCATAAAGGATCTTTGGCGGAACAACCTACCTGCTCACATCGCGGCACACCCAAACCAAGATAACTTGGATAAACTGGCGGAAGTGGCCGATATAGTCCATCGTTGTTTTATCATAAGCCGGAAATTAATGCGGTCAAGACTTCAAATTCTACTAGTACCGACAACAAGCAACTTGACGCAATTAACGAACAGATAAAAAAATCTGTCTCTAATCGTGGTAGACCTCGTCTCCCAGCGCAACCACCCTGAAGAGCGCGACCGACAACGTTCTGAGCCCCGAAGACGATACCGAAGTCCCTACAAGCGTCATAATTCCATCTGCTTTTAACACAGGACATTCGGAGACGAGGCCCAGAAGTGCGTAACCGGTTGTAAATATCAAAAGAGGGGCTCATCGAAATACTCCAACGCCAGACAGTAAAGGCGACTACTGACCCTGGCCATTTCCAAAGTCCCCTCCTCCATGTCACTGACTGAAATTCAAAGATCAAATTTTTGGTCGACACGGGTTCCGAAGTCAGCGTTATTCCTCATATACTAGAAAAACGTTGTCTAAAACCAACCCGAAACCCACTTTTTGCAGCCAACAACTCTAAGATTACCGTCTACGTCCGGAAGTTCCTTTACATAGACTTAGGCCTCCGTCAAAAGTTCCCCTTCACCTTTATTATCGCAGATGTTAAAAATCCCAAGTTCCAGTTATTAGTCAACCTCCGAGACAGAACCCTACAGGATAACGCCACGTCATCGTGAGTGGGGTGTTCTACAGAACCCAAAAATACTTTCGGTCTTAATGTTGTCCTTCCAACTACGAACCCTTTCGCTAAGTTGTTATCTGAATTCCCATCGCTCTTCCGTGCACAAGCAGAAATGCTGGAGCCAAAACATGGGGTGCATCACCATATCAGTACGACAGGACAACCAGTCTTCGCAAGGGCTCGCCGTCTGCACCCTGACAAACTACGCGCAGCCAAACAGGAATTCCAAAACATGGTTACGTTAGGCATCGTTCGACCCTCAAACAGTCCTTGGACTTCCCCATTGCACATGGTCGTGAAGAAAAACGGTGACTGGAGACCGTGCGGAGACTACCGGGCTCTAAATCGAATCACTGTCCTCGACCGATATCCCATATCCATGATTTTTCGTTGCAGTTACAAGGAAAAATCATTTTCTCTAAGCTTGACCTCCTTTCGACTTACCATCAAATCCCGATGGCGGCCGAAGACATTGCAAAGACTGCGGTAATAACACCATTCGGTTTGTTTGAGTACCTGCGCATGCCTTTCAGCCTCCGCAACGCGGCGCAATCATTCCAACGTTTCATGGATCAAGTTTTTCGAGGGTTAGATTTCGTCTTTACCTATATCGACGATGTGCTCATCGCCAGCTCCAACCCGGACGAGCACAAACAACACCTGCAACAGGTGTTTGAACGTCTTCAACAATACGGAATCGCGGTTAACCCCGAAAAGTGTAAATTCGGCCTGGCCGCGATCGATTTCCTTGGTCACCACATCGACGGTCGTGGGATCACGCCTCTATCCGAGAAGACTCAATCCATCATGGATTACCCCCTCCCACAATCCGTGAAGAGCCTTCGCCTTTTACTCGGCTTTGTAAACTATTATGGAAGATTCATTCCGCAGTGCGCACAAGTCCTTCAGCCTCTAACAGATTTGCTCAAGAGTAATCCGAAGCATTTCAAAACGACACCGGAAGTAGAATCAGCGTTCCTTCTGGTCAAACAAGAGCTGGCAAAGGCTACCACTATAAACCATCTCAATACTTCTATCGGGACACGCCTTGTCCTTAAGAGAGACGCATCCAATGTGGCAGTCGGAGCAGTTTTGCAGCAGTTTGTCCGAGATGAAATGCAACCCCTGTCCTTCTCGAAAAAGCTCACCACAAGGGAAACACGCTATAGCACATTCGGCAGGGAACTTCTAGCTATTTACTTAGCAGTCAAGCACTTCCGTTATATATTGGAGGGACGACTTTTCACCATTTTCACTGACCATAAGCCATTGATCTATGCTATGGGAGCTACTTCAGACCGTCATTCTCCAAGAGAGACTCGACATTTAGACTTCATATTGCAATTCACTAATGACATTCGCCATATCGACGGTGCTAGCAACGTGGTCGCCGATGCGATGTCTCGTATGGAGTTAAACCAAATCGTCGTTCCCTCTGGATCTACAAGTCCTGGCGTCCGAACAAAGGACAGATCTCGATTTCAAGGAAATCACATCCAACCCCTCGTTACGTTTCGAACGCTTACCCCTACCCGACTCAGACACTGAGATCCACTGTGACGTATCAACCAGCAAGCCGAGACCATTCGTCCCGCAAGCCTACCGCTGGAAGATTTTCGACCATTTCCACGGTCTGTCACATCCTGGCATTCGATCTACAACGAAGTTGATCACTGACCGCTTTGTTTGGAAGAACATTCGACAGGACGTTCGGCAGTGGGCTAAAAATTGCCTCAAGTGCCAAGTGAGCAAGGTCCAACGGCATACCCGCAGCCCGACCTCCAGTTTTCCCCTCCCCGAAGCCCGTTTCCGCCACATTCATGTTGATATCGTTGGGCCACTTCCCCCATCGAACTCTTTCACCCATATCTTAACTTGTATTGACCGATTTACGCGCTGGTCAATTGCTGTTCCATTACGCGAAACCTCTTCGACATCGGTGGCGAAGGCCCTGATAGAATCATGGATATCCGTATTCGGAGTTCCAGCAGTAATAACGACCGATAGAGGATCACAGTTCACCTCTGCGCTGTTCCGGGACTTAAATCAGCTATTGGGATCGACACACATCCACACTACTGCCTATCATCCAGAAGCCAACGGCCTTGTCGAGCGTTTTCACCGACAGCTTAAGTCTGCCCTTATCGCAACTTCTTCTGGTTTAAACTGGGCGGAACGTCTCCTAATCATTCTTCTCTCCGTACGAAATACTATCAAGGAAGATCTCGGATGCTCCCCAGCAGAACTCGTTCTTGGCACAACGCTTCGGCTTCCTGGAGAGATGATCTCTAACGTCCAAGACCAAGCCTCCATAGACCCATTGTCATATCTGGCCCGTTTAAAGGAACATTTCAGAGCCGTCCGTCCAACCCCTACTCGTTTGAATAACATCTACCTATATTCATAAAGACTTATCCACATGTCCCTTCGTTTTTGTTCGAGTGGATTCAGTTAAAAGACCCCTACAACCGCCGTACGACGGATCTTACATAGTTCTCAAACGCAAGCCAAAATATTTCACCCTGGACCGCAACGGTATCAAGGACTCAGTAAGCATCGACCGGTTGAAACCAGCATACCCAGAGTCTCCTATACTGCAGTCGGCAGTTAGAAATCATTTCTCCGTTCCTACAACCCCAATAACTGCAGACCCTCTACCACTCTCCGTTTCCCCACCACCACAATCTCCACCCGAAGATACTCAGGACTCTTGTGTTTCCCCTCCTGACCCTCTTCAACCTGAACCCTATTACAACCGCCGAGGCCGAAAAGTTACTTTCCCTGCCCGGTTGGTCGACTATGTACATTCAGTAAATCGAGCGTTTTCTTTTTCTCCTTTCAGGTTCCTACCAACGCTCTAGAGGGGGAGTATTGTTTTGGATTACTCCATCAATGACCAAATAGAAATCCTGCTATAGAACACTACTCAGAAATATTTCGCTATTAATGTTCCCACGAATCATGCTAGAATTATCTGATAACTAATCGCTTTGCCAAACACACACTTCGCTATCTATATACGTACCGAATAAACGTATTCCGTGCTAATTCGCAGGGACTTTCGATTGGGAGGAAATTGTTATAGAGATTTCTGAGAATAGTCAAGGTTATTGAGGTAGCTAAACCGCTACAGGTCAATGTCAAGTTCGAGGTTGTTTTGTTTTCACAAAGTAAATTAAAATATTATTTTAGTTAGGGGGGGGGGGAGTCGAATTTCGCTAAAATCTAATTGAAAGAGAAGGATTTAACTAAAACCAATTTTCTTGATTTTATTCGTCAATGCAGTGTTCTTCGACCGTTACTGATGGTAATAACGCGATGAAGTGAGCTAATCGAAACCAAATCTAGTGAACATAGTTTCAGTTTCGTTTGGATAATTTTTTGATTGCCTCTCCTTTGTCCTTCTACTCTTTCCATAAAACGTAAACATTCATAAATGCGAATTTGGTCTTTTTCCAAACAGAAAATCGACTCGGTGTAGTCATAATTCTATAGAGCAAATAAGGCCAGTTGTAGGATGTGCATACCGAAAGCAGTGTAGCATGTTTAATTCACGAAAGTATTCCTAATGACGAAATGCGTGACCCCAGAACAAATAGCTATTCCAAGTGTTGTAACCCCTATTATGCGTATCTGCTTGTCTTATTAGAGTTGGTCCATCTACTGTCAGAATTCATTCAGATGATGAGCTTCATTCTTAAATACTAACGTTGTGGTGTCGCCCCCGCTTGGTCTAAACTACCAGTACGCAATTTGTGGGTACATCACGTCAATAGAGGAAGAGCAACACGTGCACGTGTTCTATCCCACTAGCATGGCTAGTCGTATTTTTGCCCACACACACACCCTGGATTGACAGTGAGATCCAAGTAAGCGTTGAGGTATAGGTCCACTCCGCAAAAACACGTCAGCTAGATAGACCGAACACATCAAAAGTGAACCAGCCCTTACTAAACAAAATAGAACCAAAACGCGAGAGTAAAGAAGGCATTCGTGCAACAAATGCGTCAACTTGCTCTAAACCCAAAGAGAATATGTTGAACGTGAATAACCCAGACAATAAGTATATTCCATTGATCAGAACATATATACAAAAATATAAAATAAAGAAATTCATGCTACAATGATTAAATTGTCTTTCGATTGGTAAGAGTCATCATTGATTTTTTGAACTCTTTGACGCAATGAACCAGACATTCCGTTGTGGCCCTGAAATCGAAGGTAGGAGTAAGGAAAGGCAACTGCATAAAGGGAGAAAGAGATGAAAATAGACTCACTTTTTCATTTCACGGAGAGTATTTTCCAACTCATGATCGAGCTGACCACACTCATCATAGTCGGAAAAAAGACTTTGAGCAGTTGTGACATCAGAATCCAAGTGTTCGTCATCACGTACAGTAATGCGATCAACAGCAGCGACTGCTGATCTAATTTGTGTTCCTGCGGAAATAAGACATTGTCGCAAATTCTTCAAATCTGGCTGCAAACTATTCGCAAGGTTCTTCTGCGCAAGGTCGTATACAAGGGAAGCCTTCGTTCTTTAGGAAGAAGACAGAAAATTTAGATGAAAAGAAACATACTTGGCTTCCCAGATCTGATTAGATAAAAGTGAAAGCGTCCCCATCGATCTTTGAGAATCATTCAAATCAGAGACCTTTTGAATGGGGGGAGCAGTGACAACCCCGGAATCAGTCACACTTTTTACAGCGGAAGACTTCATGATTTCTACAGATTTATTGTGGAAAGGGGTAAAGGGAGGTGATACAATGTCCTGCTTAATGTATCCTTGAGGAGTCGAGTTATTAATTACTGGACCGCTGTACGTCAGCTGCACCCGTCGTGGAATTTCTCTAGGATGATCTAAAAATGATGGATTAAAAAACGGGAAATTAAAGTTACTAAGGCTTAAATGAGACAATCTCGCATCATCGATAGCACGCATAAGTTCATTCAGATCCCTGACAGCTGAAGGATTTCCGTCAATAATTTCGTGAGGTGGAATGTGACTTATTGTCACATTTAACCTATTTTCTATGTCTTTTTCGATGGCTACAATGTTATCCAGTCTTTCATCAGCACTAACAGCCATGGGGTGTGGTACTAAAAATTGAGAAAAAAAGAAATCTTACCAATCTTCGCACCAAACATTTCTGTATAGAAATTAATAAAATAATCGGCATCGAGTTCTTCATCAGCAATCATGGTATAATCCCTTCTCATATTTAAATTTCGAGCAGCACTAGCAAGCCTAGTCTCATTCATATCAAAATAAAATATGCGCCACAGACCTAATTATCAATAATTAATGCGATTAAAATAAATTTCACTTCCATTTAGTTACATATATGAATTTAAGTTTTATGCAATAGAATATTAATTTAAGTGAAAAAATAAATTTTGAATAAAATTGTTATCATTTTATTTGTATTATTTTTATTAAGATATATAAAATTATATTATTTTTTCACTACTCTAATAATATTTTGGTTTTTATGTATTCTAATTTACATTTAGGCTTTTACGATTTAATTTTTTGTTAAGTTCATTCGACTTTTCCCCAATTTTTCAAATATATCGGGTTTATATTGGTATTTTTTGGTATGACTTCATCTCAAAAGGAAGTCAATGGGGGTGATTGTGAGCCTGAAAATATCCAAGAATTGACTAAAACTGTTGGTTACCTTGATTAATTTTATGCTTTTGTAGATTCAGTCAATGATAATGCAAATGCAATCCAAATTTCAGGAAATGAGTGATCAGCTTGTACAGAAAAATATCCTTTTGATATTATGTGGACTCTTGATTTTTATTTTAGTTTTCCTTAACTTATTTGCTTTTTACTTGATGACATGTCTAGTCGGATTGATGAGCTTGAAAGGAACATCGGCGAGATTCTCAACTCTCAAGACGGTGATTAATTATGCTTGCCTCATCTTGTTTAATAAAGTTTCTTTAAAATTTAATTGCTTTCTGCTTATACTGCTTACCGTTCTATGATTTTTGACAAATATTTGATTTATTCGGCTATTATTATTTGTAATTTATTATTTGCATTATGGCTCAATTCCCACCTATGTAGTTGCTATTAGTGGATTTCAAAACGTAATTTTATATTCCTGTATTTATCTACCTGTTCTAGAAATGCCTTACTGTTTTAAATGTAGATTTTTTATTATTTCCCTTCTCTGTCTGTTTTGAATGAGCCGCATTGGGGCAATCCAGTAGGCACGTTTTCCTCCCTACTTTATTAGTTATGTACATTTGAGTTAGTTATGTCATTTTTAGCTATATTGTTGACTTATCGGAATGAATAACTCTTAGGTAGTTCTCTTGTTTTGAGCAACTTTTAATAGCCACTTAAAAAATTGTGATGTCTATTAATTTCTGTACTCTTTATCTTGGTCTGGATTCTCTATTAAATTTATTATTCCTTCGTATTTGGTGTGTTTTTTTTCTTGAGAGAAGTGATGTTCCCGTTCAAATTATATTGAATCAAACTCTGATATTTCTCACGATATTGGCTATCATTACTGGTTGTCCTATTAGAATTTTCGGTGTTTGTATTGTGATGTTTAATTTCTTTGGATGGTATTGACAAACCCCTATCAAGGACCCGTTAAAGCAACAGCTCCATTGATTAGTTATGATTTTTACAGTTAACAATGATTCCCAGTACTTTGAAAGGTCTGTTTTTCAATCGGATTTAAGATATATTTAGGCGAAATTTTGTAATTTAGGAAGAGCGCTTTTGATTCCTTTATGTACGGTAGTTTAGTCAAAGCGAAGACTAGGTGAATTCAAGTTTTCTCTATTTGTCTGATCGCCAGAAGCAAGTCTTAATTGAAAGATGTTTCGCAGCAATCCAAAGGGTCATGTCTTTGTGAAAGGATGAGAAAAGCAATACTTTGGCACACCATGAGTTAATATGTGGCGAAGTTGTTTGTATACATAGGTAGGGTAAAACGAGGATGGAAAAAAGCGGGTTTGTTTTCGTCCACGCGTGCCAATTTTAACTTAGAGGCACTTGCGTCTGCCAGGCTTTAATCCTAGTATTAGGCCTCTCGCAATACTGCTAGGTGTCGTAGGTCTGATGTTTTTGGATGTCCACATATCCCTTTTCATAAAAGGTATTGAGAAGTGTTCCCTCTGCCAAAATTGAAATTTTTGTTGGCTATAAAGTTATATTCACAGGTTAGGTAGGGTCGTGTTATAAGGCTATTTGATGTCCACCACCCTATCATTCAATCGTTAAAAGTTAGCCAATTCTAGGAGTGGGTTTTTATCCACTATTAGACGAATGTGGGGTAATTTGCGTAAGTCGTTTTAATAAACATGGTCAAATGTAAATCTGAACCTAATTGCATAGGCATTACCTAGTTGAGGTATTACATAGATGCCTTAAAACTAAAGCTTTAACTAAGAGAGACCAACCTATTTGTTTAAGCGATATGGAGACTGTTTAGTAAAAATTGTTAATTTTTATTCAACAATCTAAAGTAACAATCACTTATTAATTTGTCATGGTCGATTGTAATCGAGCCTAACTTATAGGTATGGTTTACTATATTGTCTTAAGTAGTATTTTATTTTACTTTGATAAGCAACTTACTGCTATATCAATATGAAAGCGGCTTCTGGTTGTCATTCATTCTTCCATAAAATGTATAACTTAATATATGCACCTATAAAACAATTAGAAAATAGCTTGGTTTTGTAAAGAAGTATATAAATGCAGACATTCCAGTTCTCCACTCTAAGGATATCAAAAAAGGGATATATCGGAACTCTTTGTCTCCTTAAATTTAGACTTGAAAGCTTTTATTTTTCCCTTTCAGTTCTCAACAAATTATTTTTTCCCTTCATAGTTGGGCAACAATGACAGCTCTGAACATACAGCTTCCATTTTCTCTACCTTACTTTAATTATAGAAAAGTATTAGGCTATCAGTTGAATGATTTGTAAAAAAAGTCTGCATGGAAGCTTCCAATGAAATGTTTGATGAAACTGTCCTTACAAGAAAAAAAAACAGCCAAAGAGCTTATTTCTCTCTCCATTAGATTACACCTACTTCCGAGCTGTTAGGCCAGTTATGCTCTTGCATTTATCTATAAGAAAACATGACTTCCAGAGTATTATTTTCATACAAAATGGGGAAAAATCGACACACACACACACACAAACCTGTTGATAGTGTCAGCAACCTATTTACAGTGCTGTGACACGGTTATGATCTACCTTCAATCCCTATTGGCCTGTTAATGTTGTCTTAGCACAATAACAGATTGTATTTGTTCTAGTAATAATAATAATAATAATAAGGTGCTGCTTCAGTCTACTTCTAAACATACTGATCACACCTAATGGTCATAAGACATGAAACTCTCTCTCTCTCAAGGATATATAGAAATATGTGCTACCTGGATACTCGACAAGCATAAGTAATTAATGACTGACATATGTCCAGCGTTTGGTTCAACATTTTTGCCCATTCTTCTGCCACATGCCACAAGCTAAACATTTGGAAAAAAATGCTCTTCCATGTTTGACAGTCTTTCATACCTACTTCCTTTCGTAGTTTCAACTAAGCAGAGGAAGTAAGACTATTCTTTACTTTTTAGTCGCTTTGCGCCAAAGAAAGAAATTTCATCCTATTTTTTTCTTTACTTTCGGTTGCACACACACACACACACACAAATATTACGCCAAGTTTTGCCTCCCTAAAGTTTTAGCTGATAACTTCGCATTTTCGCAAAACACAAATTCTCAGTTACTTGAAAGTGGCTAAAGAACTTTTCACGTCACTGAAATTTAGCACTTTAGAAAGCTGAGAAAATTTAAACATTTCAGCTAAATTTCCCTGTTGAGGCAATTCGGAAGCCAGTGAGATGGATAAATAATAATTTTCCAATTGATCTTTGCAATTCCTGATTATACACTAGTATTCGAATCAGCTATTTACTTTTTCATTCCTTAAGTTTTTAGGATTTAATTAATATGTACAAAGTCAATCTTCAATCCCTGCTTGCGTATTAAAATGCTATTGACAATTGTTTTCACTTAAAACGCTTAATGTCTGTAAAGGGGATTATAAGGCATCAGTTTAAGCCCATAAAGTGTCGAAATTGGGTAAAATGCGTTATTCTACCTGATAAAAATACCTACCACCGTCGTGAATATTTATGTTTCTTCATCTTTTTCTGCCTAACTTTCTGTGTGGCTTGGCGCCTTGAGGTAAGTTCCGCGGTTACCATTACCAACCCGTTTACATTTTTGCATTTGACAAGCGGCAACAGTTGGTGTGTGAAGAAACAAAAATCCCCCCCCCTTCCTATCCCCAATATGCACTTGGGGGGGGTGCGCGTATACACACAATAGTTCTTCCCATGAAAATCAGCAGCCGAAAAACCACACATTTAGTCTGGGAAACTAGTACCTTCTTCTTAAAAATAGACCTGAAACCATTGCGCATAATCTTCTATGCATAATTTTGGCGTGAAAATTGATAGACACGTCTTTCTTAGTTTGTGACACAGAAAAACGAAATGAAAGTTTGTCAAAGTTGGGAAAACGCAAAGGGGAAACAAATACCCTATCTACTGGGTAATTTGATACGTGCCTACTAGAATAGCTTTTTTTAATCAACTATCCCTCCAGGAGGGATTTCAAAAAGCGCCTTGTTGATAAGTTTGTTCTTAAGGCCAAAGCAAAGTTCTTCAATGCACCTTAATTTTGACTTTTTTTCAGTTTCGCTACGACTAAAATATTCATCTAAAGGCCTTAGAGGGAGAGAGAGAGAGCTAGCATATTTGGCATATCGTCTTGTTTCGTCTTTAACGGGGTAAATAAATTTTAAGCCTGTTACTTTGCTTAAGTTCTGTTAATAGTGAAATTTAACGGCTTTAGTAATAAAAAATGACCAAATATAACGGTCTTTTGGGGGATTATTAAAAAGTATTTTTTTATTTACTATATCAGTAATTGGATATTGATTGAGCGTTAGAATTAACAGTTTGGGTTGCGCCCGTTTTGTGACCAGTAGGTCGAATTTATGAAGAAAAAAATCGATAAATTGTCTAAACGTAACATACTCAGGCTAGGCAGAGTGGATAATTGACTCGAGATAAGAGTTTAATATACAGAGGGAATAAGTAATTTTGAAAAGATATTTATAGGGAAGCATTAACATGAAGTCATAAAGTGTGTGGATTCTTGGTCAAATTAATATTATGAGACATAGTGGCTCGAGAAAATGAGCAATTGGT